TGTGGGCTTTGGATCTCCACTCCGCACTCCCCCCATCATTCACTGACCACAGTCTTAAAGAAGTGCTTCAGGTCTGGGATAACATCACTGGTTTTCAAGCATGCATGGAATGTTACAAAATTTCACGTAGGTCGGAGCTCCACAAAGTTCACAGCAAAACGGAGTAAGAAGACAATTGGAGTTTCCCCACACATTTTTGAAGTTCCTTCGTACTAGGTAATAGCATGTCTCAACCATTACAAAGAATTCGTGTTTATATAGATTAGAGGTTAGTGATGGCCCACAGGTTGAATCTGGCCAACTGCCTGCTTTAGTAAGTTAAGATTGATTAGAACTCAGGACACATTCATTGATTCACATACTGGCTTTTGCCCACTTTAGCCCTGCAATGGAAGATTTGAGTGCTTAATGTGTACATAGTCATTTGGGGGAATCTATAAAAGTCCCCTGGGAATCTTGTAAAAATATAGATTATGATTCAGTTTATCTGGAGTGGAAATGAAAATGAACCAATTCAAAGCCCTGGTACTTCCTCAATGGAGACCATATTGCCTGAAAGGAGCTTAAAATATTATCTAGACCTTTAAAATAAAGCTTTCTGATTCTTGATGTTCTGCACCATATTTGCCGATCATTTTATTTAAAAAATCATTAGAAAAAATAGATTGGGGGAAAAAAACCCATACTTTCAAGAACAGTAATATAAAAAAGTCCCAACTTATGAATTAATTTGGGAAACATAATGTTGTTGATGCTGTTAGGCTCCTTCTAGTCTGATTCTGACTCTAAGCGACCCAGTGTGTAATACAAGGGGGAACCTTATCACCTCCAAAGTACTCTCCATTAATACTGCAAATCCATTCTTAGAAACATTTTTCAAACTCATCTGTTTTGTTTACCTCTTCTGCATCATCAAATCTCTCTCTTTTCGTGTCCCTCTTCATTTGTGAAACAAAAAGAAGTTGCACAGAGTAGAGTGAGGCTAGGTGAGTCAAGTGCATGTGTGGCAAGAGCAGCATGCAGGGTTTTTTTTTGCCAAAACATGTGTATGTTCTTTTGTCAGTCCATTGGACGTTCAGTACTCTTTGCCAGCATCATAATTCAAATGCACCAATTCTTCTTTGGTCTTCTTTAGTCAATATCCAGTTTTTTTAAATTAAATAATCATTTTATTAGGTGCTCATACAATTTATCACAATCCGTACATACATCATTTGTGTCCAGCACATTAGTACATATGTTGACTTCATCATTCTCACAACACCCGCTTTCCACTTGAGCCCTTGGTGTCAGCTCATTTTTCTCCCTCCCTCCCCATGAACCCTTGATAATATATAAATTATTATTTTATCATCTTACCCCATCCAACGTCTCCTTCACCCACTTCTCCGCTGTCCATCCCCCAGGGAGGAGGCCATATGTAGACCTTGTCATCTGTTCCCCCTGTCTCCCTCACCTTCCCTCCACCCTCCCGCTATTGCCACTCCCTCCATTGGTCCTGGGGGTTTCATCTGTCCTGGGTTCACTGTATTTCCAGTTCCTATCTGTGCCAGTGTACATCCTCTGGTCCAGCCGGATATGTAAGGTAGAATTGGGATCATGGTAGTAGGGTGGAGGAAGCATTTTAAGAACTAGAGGAAAATTGCATATTTCATTGTTGCTATACTGCATTCTGATTTGCTCCTCTCCCCGCAGTCCTTCTGCAAGGGGATGTCCAATTTCCCCCGGAT